GATCTTCTCTTCGTCGCTCAGCCGCATCGAGAGACGCACCGTCTCGACCGTCCCACCAATGTACACGACGACCACGCACGCGCCACGGACGTTGGTGCCCACGTCGAGCTTGGCCGCCACGCACGCGTCGTAAAAGAACGCACTGAGTTCCTGGAGACGCACCGACCGCTGCGGCTCGTCGCCCATGAGCTGCACGGCTTTGAGCGCCGCGCCGGCGTTGGCCAGACCGAGGTCCACCGAGTAGACAAAGCCGCCCGCAGAGTACTTGAGGTAGTCGACCACGGTCTTGGCCGCGAGGATGAAGCCGCCCACAGACCCGAGCGCCTTGCTCATCGTACCCATGCGCACGTCGACGTCGGTGGTCGGCACGTCAAAGTACTCGCACATGCCCTTGCCCGTCTGGCCCATCGTGCCAAACGAGTGCGCTTCGTCCACAAACAGAATCGCCTTGTGCTGCTTCTTGAGCTTTCAGTGCCGAAACTCATAGCTGCGTTTGCGGGAAAAGTGCCGCAGGCTGCGGTCGGGCTCGATCACGCGTCTGAATTGAATCAGATCGAATTTGACGTCAGTCAAAGTACCACTACTCCCGGTGCGAAACTAACGAGTGGAAGAACTACTCAGCTCAGTGCACGACGAACAACAGAAGTGTAGAAGAGAGCATTGAAAGCTCCGAGGTTTCAATAGCCCCGGCGACATGCTACTCGATGACAGCGTTCGTCCATGCCTGGGCATCTCGTATCCGTTCGCACGGGCTTGGGCGATGGCAGAGGGCATCCATGAGTGGATGCGACGAGGACGGTGTCACGCTAGTATCGCGGTGTGCGGGAGGCAACGAAAGCTGATAGGCCAGCTAACCAAAAGGCGCACTTAATCGGAATTCCCAAGTGCCACTCCCACCTGTGGAGCTGCCACGTCATTTGCATCTTCTAGGTGTCGTCGACGGCGAGAAAGAGGTATCGCTTCGCCTGTCTATTTGAAATATAGTTATAACAACTGAGTCCTTGCCTACTGCTTGCGGAACTCTAGGGCTGCACTGGACAAAGGTCTGTCTGGTCACGAACGTTGGCCTTTGTCTCCCTACATAGCCTAGTGTCGCTGCCTAGTTGATCACGTTGCCTTTTGATGAAGTGAGTCTATTTAGATATAATTTACGCTGAGCTGTTTTTGGAGCACTTTCGACTCGGAGCGTGTTGTGACTGACGGCAGCAGCGAGGCTTAGCCGTCACGAAGACGAGGCGAATGGATGGCGCAAGCCGGTCGAGGTGGTCGCGAAGCCAGGCGTCATGGTGCAGGACGTTCATCATTTGGAACAGACACAGCGCTTGGAAATTCAGCAGCAAATGTTGAAGGTGCAGTTTGGTCAAGAACGCGGCACGAGTGGCGGCCGCTTCGGGCGTCACGACGGGCGCCTCGGGAAGGAAGACTCGGTCGTTGCGGGCGAGCCCGACGGTGTGGAGCACGCAAGCGCGTAGAATCGGCCTCATCATGGCGACCGCGCGTTGTTGATAGCGTTGGGCCATCACTATCGGTTCAAACAAGAGCACGAGCAGCGCTCCAGCGCGTCGACGAGCGGCCGAAAGACGGCCCAGACCGCGGTGACAAATTCGCAGAAGGTGGTCGTACGTCTCGGAAGCGCCGCAGACGGGGTAACCTTGCTGCCTGGTTAATTATAACGCAGAGTTTGCTTGCTGTTAAGTGGGCCGTCTGTTATAAAAACACAATTCTACGCTAAAAATGACGGACTTTCTTCGTTATGTACATTCGGTTGGGTTGAGGGACGTGATCTATTAGGCAGATCGAAACGGGAGTGCGATCCGCGGGACAAGGTGCCGGTGCGGCCACTCATGCTGTGCGAGGAGCGTATTGTGTTGGTGAACTGTTCAGCCACACTTGTTTCGACTAACGTTAGTATTGTGGAAGTGAGTCCAATTCAATTTGAACTGCTTCAACTGGTCTCTACTATAGGACATACTAGTTTAGAATGAAATTTACCCGTTGCGCAATCAGTCTGACGAGCTGCACCAAAAGTGCGCTCGATTGCACAAGGATCTAAAGATGCGCCAACGTATGTTTCCAACGTCCACGTGGGTTCGTAGCTACTGGTGTGGCTCGAGAAAACGACGAAGACCGCCACAGGTCACAAATTCTGAGAATGCGACGGAGCTGTATGTGGTCCGATCTGAAACTGTGACGGACGCTCAGACGATCACCAGATATTGTCCTGCGTCTCATCCTGAGCCGATTTCGACACCTTTGCGCCGCCTACACTCGACAAAATCGGAGAGTACACCCATTTTGTGATTGAGCAATCGCTTTGTCGCGACGGCGCCACCGCTTTTCCGCCAATCAGCACACGAGAAGAGCATTGCGCAAACCTGCCGCGATCTCTAGTCGCATCAGAGCACAACGTGGACAGAGCACCACGTCGAGTGCGGTTTCTAAACCTCACTACGCATTTTGCTTCCTCTGCCCCACCACAACTAGCGGCTACCGTTCAATTGCATCATCATGGCCAAGGACCCTTTCTTTACGATTGAAGACTTCAAGATGGCCTTCTCCATCTTCTGCGTTGTCTGCGGTATCGGCACCCTCTCGATGCCGGGCAACTACGCCCGTGCTGGCTACGCCTGGGCAACCATCGCGCTCGTCTTCATGGCGGCCATCAATATTTACGCCTCGGTCTGCATCTCCAAGGTCATGCTGGCGGCCCCCAAGAACTGCAAGACGCTCGGTGACATTGGTGGCTGGGTCTTTGGCACCCCTGGTCGTGTGGCGATCAACATTTCGCACATGCTCGTGTGCACGATGGCGCCCATCATGTACCTCGTCCTCGGCGGCACGATCCTCACGGTCTTGTTTCCGGACTCGTACTCGGACTCGGTCTGGATCATTCTCATGGGTCTCTCGCTCCTCCCCGTCTGCCTCGTCCCGACGCTCAAGGAAAGTGCGGGCACGGCCACCGCCGGTGCGCTCGGTGTCGTCTTCTCGGACGCGATTGCCATTTACTTTTTGCTGAGCAGCATCGAGATCCCGGAAGGTGTCTCGCCGCCGTCGCCCGACATCTCGCTCAGCGGTGTCGCGACCGTCTTTGGTAGTTTGGCGCTGTCGTACGGTGCTGGCATCATCATCCCGTCGCTCCAGCGCGAGCACTCGCAGCCCGAACGCATGCCGCGCGTCATCACGGTCACCTTGGTGCTGGTCTCGTTTTGCTTTCTCGTCGTCTCGGTCCTCGGTGTCTTCAAGGTCGGCTGCCAGATCCCCGGCAACCTCCTCTTTGCCATCACCGGCTCCAAGCTCGGCTTCACGGCGTCGCGCGGCGGTGTCATCCTCGCGTTCCTCTTCATGCATCTTCACATTGTGATTGCCTTTGCACTCGTGCTCTTCCCGGCCATGTTCATGGCCGAGCGCGTCGTCCTTGGCCTCCACAAACAAGAAGGATGCGCGAAAGACGTCGACGCGATCGACCTCGAGACGCCCAAGGACCTCAGCGCCGACCTCCTCCAGCATGATGACCCGTCGGCGGCGTACAAGGCGCCGGGTGCCTACGCCAAGGCAGCGGTTCTCCGCACCATCATGGTTGCGATCTGCGTTGTGATTGCGATCGTGTTCAAGGACAAGTTTGGGGACCTCTTGGATTTCATCGGTGCATCGGCGACGTCGACGTGCTGCATGATTTTGCCGATCGCGTTTTACCTCAAGACGTTTTGGGTCAAACTCTCCAAGGCCGAGAAGTGTTTTGCCGTCCTGTCGATGATTGTGACGACGGCGCTTGCGATCTATGTGTCGATCAAGACGGGTATTGCGCTCTTCTCACCGACCGAGTCGGCGACGGTGTTTCCGTTCTGCCCCGCCGAGTACCAGCAGGTTGTCTACACGAACCGGACCCACTACAAGTTTTAGATAGCATCATTTATAACCCACTACTAGCTCTATTTGTAATTTGTCATTCGATATGTGAGTCCCTTTTCACTGTACTTGGATTGCTCCGGGGTCATGATAGAGTAGCAAGCGCAGCTATCGCCGTTTTTTCATACCGAAAATATAACGCCGAGACGAGGAAGCATGGTGGCCTGAGCTGGTGGCCTGGAGGACGCGACCGACCCTGACCGACGCGATAAGCGTCGCCGTCCATCTTGGACCCAGATCGATATCAAGTCGACTAGAAGCACCCAAGACGAGACTCGTTGTCATGACACTTGTATTCTGAATCCATGCTGCTCCTTTCTGACGAGAATGGTGTCTGGTCACATGCGTGTGGCGTTATTGCTGCCGCAGAAGGGGTAGAACGTTCCTGTGTCTACTGAGATATCAGAGAGAAGCCATGCTTGTCGATATTTTCGTGCGGTCATTAGTGCCACGAATGGACGAGTTGAAGTGAACGAATGCGCAATCGAGCTGGTCGGACACGACAGAATTGTGCATTCCTCGGCGCTGGTCTTGTCAACAGAAGGGTGATAAATATGGTGTGCCACGGATGCATGCTGTTGTAGACTGATGCGCTTCAAGGTATTCGGCTATGAGATGCATGACCTTTTGCCGTTTGAAAGCACGTTCGTCACTTTGACATGTTGCCGTGATGTAATCATCGCGGACGATTTGACCTAAGCGATAGAGGTATCGATAGAGGAAAAGGCGCGAGTGTCGAAGGACCAACTGAATTTGTTATAAAAGCATAGCAAGTTATTAGCACTGCGAACCACCAGCGACTGCAACGAGAGCATCAAGAAGCGATGAGTTGACACGCGACCATTATCCGGATGCGGGGCCAGCCGGCGTGGTTGCGCATCGCGGAATTGCGCAAACCCGCGCGGGTCTTTACCGGATGGTGACGGTTTGTCATCAACGCTATGGCGCGTGCTCAGAAGTTATAACACTCCATGTGCTGTGTCCTTCCGGCATACGCCTCGAATCAGGCCCGACGACGTCGTCTTCAGCGCCTGTCGCCGTGATGTGGCTGTCTGTCTACGTTCTACTAAGATCGCTGTCTCTCGTGACGGTCGCAGCCAAGATGCGTCAATGCAAGCGGCCAACATGAAGCACGCGTTGAATTCAAAAGCACGCGTCTTGGATGTCACGGACGCTGCTTCAGCGCGGACGCTGCCTCACCGCCTCGCTCCAGACGGAATGCGAACACCAAGTGCCCACTTTTACCACATACACGGCGTCCCAGGGCGAGTACCTTGCGAGTAGCTCAATGTCGAGTATCGCGGATTGGCGCCTCTACCACTCTTGCCTGGCCGCGAATACAAAGGATCGACCACGGCACGAGCTACTACACTTTTTGCTGTGCGTCTCGTTCCCACGTTTACCAACCCATTTGGGTTGCTTGAAGGCGTCGAGGGCTGCGTCTCCGTGGTGCGGCGGGTTGACCTTCTCACAAACAACTCGCTTTTTGTATGGGACCACCCGACCGGAATAAAATACGGATCGACACGACGCGGTTTCTACGCGCCACGTGGCGGCGCCGAACACGCATCCAATCAGCGCTTCGCGCCCATTGCGCAATAGCAGCGGTATCTCTAGTGCTTCGAGGACAAGTTTACCCGATTAGGTCGGCGCCGATTGGTCGACGCGAGAAAGGTCGAAACTGTCGCACTAGGTGCCATACACAACGATCCACCACCTGATGGGTTGTGCGGCCGAACCACTCGCCGACCAAAGCAACACAATTCAATTTGGCGGCTTGCAGCAACACCAGCACACTACCAAGTATTACCATGGCCAAGGATCCCTTTTTTACGATCGAAGACACCAAGATGGGCTTCTCGCTCTTCTGCGTCGTCTGTGGTATCGGCACCCTCTCGATGCCGGGCAACTACGCCCGTGCTGGCTACGCCTGGGCAACCATCGCGCTCGTCTTCATGGCGTCCATCAACATTTACGCTTCGGTTTGCATCTCCAAGGTCATGCTCGTCGCGCCCAAGGATTGCAAGACGCTCGGCGACATTGGTGGCTGGGTCTTTGGCACCCCAGGTCGCATCGCGATCAACATTTCGCACATGCTCGTGTGCACGATGGCCCCCATCATGTTCCTCGTGCTGGGTGGCACAATCCTCACGGTCTTGTTTCCGGACTCGTACGAAGATACGACGTGGATCATTCTCATGGGTCTCTCGCTCCTCCCCGTCTGCCTCGTCCCGACGCTCAAGGAAAGCGCGGGCACGGCCACCGCCGGTGCGCTTGGTGTGCTTTTCGCCGATGCGATCGCCATCTACATCTTGGTCAGCAACATTGAGATTCCGGACGAAGTCTCGCCGCCGTCGCCCGAGCTCTCGCTCAGTGGTGTCGCGACCGTCTTTGGCAGCTTGGCCCTTGCGTATGCGGCTGGCATCATCATCCCGTCGCTCCAGCGCGAGCACTCGCAGCCCGAGCGCATGCCGCGCGTGATCACGGTCACCTTGGTGCTTGTCTCGTTTTGCTTCCTCGTCGTCTCGGTCCTCGGTGTCTTCAAGGTCGGCTGCCAGATTCCCGGCAACCTCCTCTTTGCCATCACGGGCTCCAAGCTCGGCTTTACTGCGTCGCGTGGCGGTGTCATCCTTGCCTTCCTCTTCATGCACCTCCACATTGTGATTGCCTTTGCACTCGTGCTCTTCCCGGCCATGTTCATGGCCGAGCGCATTGTCTTGGGCCTGCACAAGAACAGCCCGGTGGCCAAGGAAGCCGCCGATGTCATTGACCTCGAGACGCCCAAGGACACGACGACCGAGCTCATTGCGCACCACGACGACCCCGCGGACGCGTACAAGGCGCCGGGTGCCTACGCCAAGGCCGCGGTTCTCCGCACCATCATGGTTGCGCTCTGCGTTGTGGTTGCGATCGCTTTCAAGGACAAGTTTGGCGACCTCTTGGACTTTATCGGTGCGTCGGCAACAGCGACGTGCTGCATGATTTTGCCGATCGCGTTTTACCTCAAGACGTTTTGGCCGACGCTCTCCAAGGCCGAAAAGTGCTTTGCGATCTTCTCGATGCTCGTGACGACGGTGCTCGCCGTGTATGTGTCGATCAAGACGGGTATTGCGCTCTTCTCGCCGACCGAGTCGGCCATCACGTTCCCGTTCTGCCCTGAAAAGTACCAGCACTACGTCTACACGAACCGGACCCACTACAAGTTTTGAGGCGTCTCTCGGTTCGTTCTTCTAGTGTAGTATGGTGTCACTTAATCTAATTATATTCTTGCGTACGACAAATGCCTTGGTACTCGATGGATCACGTCGTCGATCATATCTTGTTGGTTGTCAGTATGACTACCAAAGGGCAATCATCGCTTCTTCAAGTCGAGAAAACTGTCGTTTGGAGGCCAAAGATGCTAGGGCAATTTCGAGCAAGCGTCCAAACACAGACACGGTCTACGCCATCGACCGAGGGTAATGCCGTTGCTGTTGCCGATACGGACGAGAGAGAACGAACGACACGGAAGCGAACGATGGACCGACCGCGTCGGCGCAACTGGTGCGACAAGTCGTGTCGCACACATGCGGAGGCGAGAAGGACTGGCCCTTCGGACTGGGCGAGACACTTGCAGTGGGGCCCGAAACCGGCTGGCTGCCCGGCATAGAAGGTGATGCTACGACGTTGCGCCTGTGGCGTAGCGCAGCTATAGCCGCTTATACCACGTCGCACAGTCGCCGCGCCAACCCCACGCGCACATTGTCGCTGTTGGACGCAAGGACCGACACACTTGTCACCTCACGTTGGTGTTGACGGACAGTCTCGTGTCGTTGCACGGCAAGATAAACAGACGCTTTGGTTGCACTGCAGCCAACACTGGTAAAAACACTGTTTCCAAGCAGCATTTCTCGCGAATGAAAGATCCTGGTTAAAACAAAATTAAAGCTGCTGTTTAGAAACAGGATAATGACCATCGACACGGCGTACAATTCATTGCACGAAAATACTTCCTCATCTCAATCAAGACCGAACTACTTGGGGGCGAAAACTGTGTTGATGTCCGCCATGCCGGTGGTGGGCGAGGCGGGTTAGTTATTCGACTAACACTACCAATTAAAAATGGCTTGAGCTCGTTTGCTCTGCGCCTCGATCTTATCGTGAACGACTCCATCCACGACGATAAAGTCGTTGCGGCGTACGCCGCCCCGGGCTCGTACCTCAAGGCCTGCGTCCTCCGCACGGTCATGGTCGTGGTCATGGTCATCATTGCCACCATCTGGAAGGACCACTTCAGCGACCTCTTGGACTTTGTCGGTGCCTCCTCGACGGCGCTCAGCTGCATGATTTTGCCGATCGTCTTTTACCTCAAGACGTTCCGCACGACGCTCGGCGTGCCCGAGAAGGCGTTTGCGATCCTCTGCGTCCTCGTCACGTCGGCCCTCGCCGTCTATGTGACCTACACGACGGGCAAGAACCTCTTTGCGCCGTCGGCGGGCGACTCGTCGATCCAGTTCCCGTACTGCCCGGCCGAGTACCAAAAGATGGTCTACACCAACACGACATACTACAAGCACTAAGTCGTCGTCTGTCTCCCTTTGTAAGTATAAACTCTTGTTGAATGAAACACTGTTGCGTCCTAAAGTTGTCTGATGGCTGTTTGCGCCTTTCGAGACACATACGACCAAGATGCCAGCGGCGCCCGAATCCCAAGTCTCATCAAGCTCACACTGTACGGTTGTTGC